GGCGCCCACGAGGCGCCCACGGGCACCCATCAACGGGGCACCAGCCGAAGGCACGACACACACACACATATATATATATACACACACACATGTACATTTTTGTTTCTTAAGGAAGAAGCTGAAAGCCTTTTGCTGCAAGCACCGTTTGGGGAATGTGGGCCATGGGCCGAGGAAGAGGAAGACGGCTGATGGGGCCGTGTGAGGGAGGAGAAAGTCCTTCCTCTTCCTCTCGAAGACTTCTTTGTCCCTGTCCTGACTGTCGTCGACCTGTTAGGCAGCGGCTGCACCCTTGGCCTGGCTTTGGGGGATGCCCTTGACATCCGCCTCGTGGTTGCTCTCCCATGCCGAGTCGACCATGGCGTCCGCAGTGGGAGCCAGAACAGGCCCGTGGTGCACCCGAAGAGAGGATCCTGGGAGGGTGGGGCGGTAGACCCCGTTGGTCCTCGGGGTGCCCAAACCACACCACGTGGTGAGTCAGTGGGGATTCGGGGTCACTGCACGGTTTTGGGATTCGGGTCGTTCTTCGAGGGTGTCTCAGGCGAGTTGGGCTTCCGAGGTCCCAAGGCCGTGCGGTGACGGAGCGCGCCGTGAGGTCGTCGGGGATTCCAAGGTCACCACGCGGTCCGTCACCACACGGCTTGGGGGCCCCGACCGGTGGGCTTTGTCCAGGAAGGCTTTGAGGAGGGACTGCGCCACATGGCCTTCGGCGTGGCGATTCTGCCCCATGCGCTCGGCGGCAGTGCGGGGGAACTGGCGGCGGCGGCGATCCGCCTCGGGCGGTCCCACTGATCGCAGCACAGGCCGAGGCGGCAGGGCGCAGGGGGGAAAAGGAAGGCGATAGCTGGTGAGGCTCCAAGTTCACAGATAGCACTCCCGGCTAGTCTCGGGGGGCCTGTTGAGGTCAATTGGGACTCTTCAGAGAGCCTGTTGAGGCCAGCTGGGACTAACCTCGGGGTGCTGTCTGTGCGCAACTCAAAGCCGTACCAGCGAGGGCAGTGCGGGGAGACGCCGATGGCGCGGGTTCCCAGGGCCCGCCAGGTCCGACTCGAGCTGATTATGAGAGGGGTGGGAGCACGGAGCACGGATTGGCGTAGGTCCTAAGACTCAGGTCCCGAAAAGAAAGCGGTGAGGCCAGTGCCACGCGTAGCGAAGCCCAGCGAAGCGGCTATACTGGAGCGCGGCGGGCCGCTTCTGTGTCTGAGGATCGCCGGGGCGCTCGTGTGGTCGAGCAGCCGTGGTGCGGCTGTCATCAGGATAGAACAAGCCTTGCACCAGACGGTGCGTGAGCTGAGAGAAAATCAATGCGCTAACATGCCTTCAGCAATGTGGCCAAGCTTTCACTGCGCGCTCCCACTCGCGAGATGCACCTCCGTCTTGGCGGAAGTAGACAGCGAGTCGCGCATGGGAGCCCGCAACTTCCAGTGCATTCTTCCATACTCGTAGCCCCCACGCTTGGCGAGGCCTACCTGGCCTCCTCGCTCCGGCAGGCTTTCGCAAGTCCATGGTTCCCGGTTCAAACACCGAGCGTCGAACTGGATCGCTGCCGGGTCGCCTCGCCAGCTGCCCCACGAACGCCAATTATATTTTAGCGAGGTGAGTGCTGAGCTTGTCTTGCCCAGCAAAGTTGAGCACAGCTGCGTTAGAAACTCTACTATAATACGCATGGGGAATCCGGCATCTCTGCTGTTCCGCCTCATTCAATCGTGTGGCAAACAGCGAGTACAGTAGTTTAGAAACTATGCACGCGTTGAAAATCTGTATGTTACGACGCCTGCTCACTCTTGCATGTGACCAAATCGAATGTAACACCGTGAAATCTTGAGCTGCTGCTCCCAATCTGCGGCTGAGCTCGGAGCCAATCCGCCCGTCTGCCGACAATGACGTGCCCAGATATACGATGGATCTCTTGTTTGCGATCGGCACCCCAGCATTGTTGTAGATGTTGTCGTTAGCTCTGACTTTCACGAGTTTGAGTTTGCCCCAGTTAAGGCTCAGACCCTATTGCGACCCGCAGCCCTCGATGCACCTCATCAACTCCTGCACCGCCGAAGGGTCGCTGTCGATCAAGAGGGTGTCGTCCGCATATACCACCAAGTCCCGTACTAAGTGAGTTGCTGCCTGCGGGCCGATGCGCCGGTGGAGCTCCGCATGGGCGTCAGCCAGTAACGTCGTCATCACGATGGTGAACAGAAACGGTGATAGAGGTCATCCCTGACATGTTCCATCATGTTGCGGTCGCTCTCGAGATTTGGACCCAAAATAACCCACGATAAACACCCACGCGTCGTAAATTGCGGAAGCCATCTCTATGAAACGGTTCGGGCAGCCGAATCTGCGCAAAGAGGATGCCAAAGCAGCGGGACACACCGAATCGACACCGAATCGACAGTTTTCGCCCAATCCAGTGCCAGAAAGTCATTTTTGCCGTCTCGGGTGCTCCATGCGTTCTCAAGGACCTTGCGGGCTAAGAAGACTGCGTCCGCCGTGCCACGTTTGGATCGAAAGCCAAATTGCGTTTGCCAGATTCTACCTTCGGTCGCGGGCCGCGGGGTGCTTCAGCCGCCGCAACAACACAATTGCAAACATTTTGCAACCAATGGGTAGTAAACTGTTTGGCTCACTCGCGACCTGCGCCAAACATCGGGCACTTGCCCAATCTCCCATACGATGTTGCAGAAATGAATAACCCACGAAAGCGGAGTAGATCCATCCTCCGTGGTTGTCTTCCAAAATTCAGGCGGCACATCGTCGAGCACCCCAGCTTTTCCTGGCTTGAGGGCGTGGGCTGCACGATGTACCTCGTCTTCCGTGATGGCGCCAAGGTTTACGGCTAATACGGTCTCGTGGAGGGCGTCCGTCGGCATAGCGCTCGTCGGCCGCACTGCCCATTGCACCCCCTCTAAATGCTCAGCGAGAGTGTCGGCCTGGCAAACGCTGTCCACCATCTCCCCCTGGAATTTCTGAGCCTCCCCTACTGGCGGCAGGAGCCTTTCCAGAACTTCCGTGTTTGGCCCCAGTCACCGTTGGTGGTCAATTCATCCAATCATGCCGCCCGATCTTGCGCCACTGCTGACTTGATCTATTCCGCAAGGATTCGTTCCTCTTCTGTTCTCCCTTGCCTCCTTGCCGTAGAGCGCCGCTCGATGAGCTCGAGCGTGCGAGGTCGAATCCACGGTTTCCGTGGTACTGCAGGCTGCGCTGGCAAAGCGACGTTAGACGCATTGTGGAACCCATCGACAAGCTGGCACCACACCAAATTCACATCATCATTGCTGGGCGCCGTCTCCTGGAAGCTGTCCACAGTCAAAGAAACGTTGCTTCGAAGCGTAGTCCCAGAGTTGAGTCACATCAGGCCGGTGTTTGGGCTTGTCTTCCAAAACCTTATCCATTTTCATGCGGACGCCAGCCTTCAACAAGAAGTAGTGCGAGGACAAGCGGGCGTCCGCTAACACAGACACACTAGTAACAGTATGAGCCCATGACTGCTCGCAGACCACATGATCTATCTGGGAGCGCGTGCCCCAGTCCACGCTGCCCCCTGCCCGGCATCCCACGTTGTAGCTCGTGGCCAGCTGCTCTTGTGACGATTGGAAAAAGGTGCTGGCGAGGCACATCGACAAGTGTGAACACATTTCAACGAGCAAATGCCTGTTGGTAGTTTCCTTGCAGCTGTGGCCCGGGTGCCTGAAGAAGTGACGACCAACAATGAGGCCTTCATCATCGAACGTGTCGTAAAGTTTTGCGTTGAAACCGCCAAACATCATCTTGTGGCCGTGAGATGAACAGGAAGTGACGAACTCCCCCAGGTCATGGTAGAAGCCCTGCCGCTTTGGAAAGTCGTACCCAGAACGAGGAGCATACGTAAGCAAAGAGCACCACCGCCTTCCCACCCGGCACTCGCAATTTCAAAGACGCCATCCGGTCTGAAGCCTGACAAAATGCAACGATTGATTGCTTGAGGCTGGGGTCGACGATGAATCCAACTCCTGCCCTTTCCTCCTCCTCCTCCTCCTCCTCCTCCTCCTCCTCCTCCTCCTCCTCCTCATGCGTGACCACATTGCTGCCCGACATGAACACAAGGAAGCCCGTGTCTGTGATAAACCTGTCTGCACAGTAGAAGTATGCCAGCTTGCTTCACAGCAGCTTCGAGCTCGATCTGTTTCGACTAAGTGTAACCTTCGATGTTCCATGACGCGGTAACGAATTCTTTTCTGATGGGTCGTAAACGACGTCCCTGGACAGCAGGTAGCGGCGGCGCGGCTTTGTCGCCACTAGGGTTCTTGCTTGGTGCAGCGCGAGGGCCTCGTATGGGATCGTCGCGATTCGGCGTTTGCTCCCTGCGGCACTCGTGTGAAACGTCTCTGCTCTCGCAACGCTGGCCCCATCAATTTCCATCCTTTCCACCTTTACCCTTCATTTCCCCCTTGCCCTTGGACCCGCTCTGTCCTGTTCCCTTGGACGGAGCATTGTCGAGTCTGCGTTTCATCTGAGCGATGAGGTTGGGGAGGTCGGGGCATTTCTCGTCTGAAAACCATGTTTCCCAATCAGTCCCGTAGACCACCATAAGCATGCCATTGTCGATAGAAGCTTCAACGGCAATTTCTTCACCAACCCACAATTTACCTTCTTCCGGGTCAGCCCACACGACCTTGCCAATATAACTCCGACCGGGCCGTCATCAGGAGGGTGTGGAATCGCGAAATGAGTCACTTGCTTGGGCCGAACTCGAGAGGGAGCTGCAGTAGCAGCCCCGTCAGAAGACCATGGGTCATGGCCGCCGTACCACGGGTTGGCATGACCGTGTCAGAATCATCACAATGTTCGCTATGATGCACGAGGAGCTGCCGCAGAAGCGACAGCACGAAAACCAGCAAGGTCACCAGTCGCAACAGTGGGGGAGGGATGGAGAGGGAGGGAGGGAGAGTGACGCAGGAGTGATGAGTGGAAGGGTTGGGAAGGACGAGGTGGGAAGACCTCCGAGATCCGCAAGAGCTCCCCAGGAGTACTCGGAGGCGGTGCTTTTCCACGCAGGCTCGCTGTCGCCCAAGCAGCTGGCCTTCATCACCAACGGTTTCGCCCGCGCCCTCGTGCCCGACCGCGACGTGTTCCGCCGCCTGGCGGACCGGGCGATCGAGAAGGCCAGCGATTTCGAGCCGAGGCCCCTGGGGTTGGCGTAAGAGTTGCTCCAGATCCTCTGAGCGGCAGTGGCCTCGGTTTGTAAGTGTTGGCTCGGCTTATGTCCAGGACATTTTCGAGTGCAGCTCAGCCGAGAGATGGGATGTGTTGCTATTGGCAGTCGGGGTGCGTGCCAGGATCTCTTGTGGAGTCTCGGCGGACTTAGACCATGGGCAAGCGGAGCGTCTTACAAGCTAGCCTTACGAATCTCGCCAATTGAAGGCTGGGCTCCTCATGGAGCAGCATCAGGAGGAGCAGGAGGATTAGAAACACTGTCGTATACTGTACTGATTTCTAGGGTTCGTCGGCTGCCTTCAAAATATACTTCGAGCCGCCCCCCAGGTTCGCCCTCCGCTACACTGGTCCATTTTATTCGGGTGATCTTCACTACCGTCATCCGTCTCTCATTTGTCGTTCTTGTCCCTTTGTCCAAGTTGGTCCTTCTCTTGCTTCCTCCCTTGTCCTTGCTCCGTCCCTCCGTCCTCGTCCTTCGAACGAACAGCCACACGTCGCATCAACAAAAACATCGAGCACGCACAATGCGAAGCCGCGCGTCGCATCAACCTCCTTCGAACTCACAGGAGGAACAGGACGGGGAGATGCCGATTCATTGGTTCAGGAGTGTACCTTGGAGGGGACGGGAGGAGGGAGGAAGACGAGATGAGACGAAGGACGGACTGATTCGTTCGGGGGAGCAGCGGAGACGTTGGATGGAGGAGGGAGGAGGGAGGAGACGTCCCCCCCCACCCGACAGGAGGGGCCTGTTAGACTCTAGGAAAAGAGCCCCCGACCCGCCTCGCCCGCCAAGCAGACCGCGACCGCCAGGCCCCAAGTGTCCCGCGTCCCTGGGGATCCCTCCCAGCATACCGCGGCGGGTAGGCCCCAAGGGTCCCCGGTGGTCCCTGGAGATGCCGCCTCGCGGCCACCAGGCCCACAGGGTCCCCGAGTGTCCCTGGATATCCTGCCTCGCCGCGCCCCACCACCAGGGAGACGTCACTCTGCTCAGGCGGCACGACGTCACGCCGTCCGCGGACATCTAGAGCATACTTCAACAGCAGGTACCAACATCAGGCATTGCTAACCTACGTCCGTACCTCCCAGCAAGAAAAAACATTAATCACACACCCCAGTATCACTCATCGAGGGTACATATCGCAGCAATCATTCACGCTGAGATCATACATCGCTAGCATATAGCAAGCGCCTACACCGAGAGCGTATACCAATAACAGACACCACCAACACGCAATACATGCAGGCAGCATCAGACATCAAGGCGACGCAGCAATACCTCACATCAGTAACAGACACCAAACACAGACAACACGAAGGTACACGAATAGCTCGTATTGGGAAGACGTATCAACACAAGGCAATACCTACCAGCACACACAACACAGGTAACAAACGCAGACACAATCACAGGAACACCAAACAATAGCACGATCACGGCGATATGCCAATCTCACACACCAAATTCTGCCAATGTGCACCAAGAGTACCCACACACGCCACTAGCTATCCTGGCGAAGGGCCCAACCATATGCAGTCGCGGGCATCGAGATGCACGTGAGATGAAGGAGGGGGGCCGACGAACAGACTGCGGCGTGGATGGGGGGCTGAGCGGACGTGGGCGAGCGGGAAGTCATTTTGGTTTCGCGTGAGCCCTGGGCGCCGCCGTTTCGTGTCCACTTCCTTCCCAGTTATTCATCACCTCCGTTTATTGCCGTTGTGCGTGGCGTTCTTGCCCGCCTGGCCCGCCGTGGCCCGATCCCCGGGCCCTGGCGTTTTGTGTCCTTTTTCTTCCCGCGTATTTCTCCCCCCTTTGTCCTTGCGCCCTGGTGGCCGCGGCTCTGAGCCGCGCAGCGCGGAGTCCCCGCGACGCGCGCCGGTCGTCCCGAAGGAGTCCTGGCGACTCGCGCGGGTCATCCGCGGCACAGGGCAAAAACACGGGCGATTGACAACGGGCGAGGCGCTCGGCAGAGCAAACGGGTGTCGGGCAGCGCATGCATGCAGAGCGCAAGGTAGTCCCCACGACGCGCGCTGGTCGCTCCGAGAGGATCCCAGCGAAAGGCGAGGCTCGGACGGACCGCTCCTCAAGCCATGCCTCGCGGATGCATTCGGTGACGCCTAGTTCCTTGGCGAGTGCCGTCGCGATGTTGCCATGCGAACGCGGCCACTCGGGCTCTCGGTGGAGCACCCCGTGAGGTCACGGAGCGTGTGGGCGGTGTGCCGAAGTGGGCGCGGTGCCGCCATGCGAACGAAGCAATTGAAGCCTCGGTGGAGCCCCCCAAGGGGCCACGAAGCGTGCGAGGGGGTGTAGACGGTGCCGCATCGCGAACGCTAGTTTTTGGGCTTCAGGTGGGTTTTCCGATCAGGTCAAGAAACGCGCGTGGCGTGTGCCGACGTGAGTGCGGTGCCGCTATTCGATCGTCGTAATTTGTGCCTCAGGTGTAGTTCCTTATAGGGCCAATAAGACACGCGAGGGTTTGCCGAAACGGGCCCGGTGCTGCCATGCGAACGCAGCCACCAGGGCCTTCGGTGGAGCCCCCCATGGGGCCTCGAAGTGTGTGAGGGGTATGCCGACACGGGTGCGGCGCCGCCTTGCGAGCGCTGGCACTGGGGCCATTGGTGGAGCTCCCAAGGGGCCACGAAGCGTGGGAGGGGTGTGCCGAAATTGGCGCAGTGCCGCCATGCGAACGCAGCCACCAAGGCTCTCGGTGGAGTTCCCCGTGGGGCCACGAAGCGTATGAACGGTGTGCCGACATGGGCGCGATGCCGCCATGCGAACGCAGCCAAAGGGGCCCCGGTGGAGCTCCCGGGGAGTGCCGAAATTGGTGCGGTGCCGCCGCGCGAACGCAGCTGCCAGGACCTTCCATGGGGCCCCCTATGGGGCCACGAAGCATGCGACGGGTGTGCCGACATGGGTGCTTTGCCGCCGTGCGAATGCAGCCATTGGCGCTTTAGTTGGAAGTCCCCATTGGGCCACGCGACGCGCGAGGGGTGTACCGCAGTGAGGCGGTGCCGCCATGCGAACGCTGGTTTTGGGGCCTCAGGTGGGTTTCCCTATACGACCACGAAACGTGTGAGGGGTGTGCGGACAGGGCGCGGTGCCGCCATTCAATCGGCGGCATTTGGGCCTCACGTGGAGTTCCGTATGGCGCCACGAAGCGGGCGAAGGGTGTGCAGAAGGGGGTGCGGTGCTGCCACGCGAACACAGCCAGTTGTGAGCCACTTGGAGTTCGTTATGGGGCCACGAATCGCGCGTGCCGAAATCGTCGATGACGACGCGAATGTCGGCGAGGATGTGCGGAGGGCATAAGCATGGATGGGAGGAGGGAGGAGGAGAAGGAGCAGGAGGATGAGGAGGAGGAGGAGGAGGAGGATAAGGATAATAAGCAGAAGCAGGAGGAAGGGGAGGAGCAGGAGGAGGATCAGAAGAAAAAGAAACAGGAGGAGGAGGAGGAGGAGCAGAAGGAGCAGGAGAAGGAGGACCCAACACCACAGGATGGTTGGGGGAAAACTCGCCTGGCGAAAGACCCCAACCATATGCAGTTGTGAGTGCCCCAAGAGATGTGGGCCGAATGAGGTGGAGCTCCCTATGGGGCCGCCACACGTCTGAGGGGTGTGCTTATTTGGAGGCGGGTGTGCCATGCGAACTCTAGCAGCTGGGGCCTAGCTGGAGTCCCCTAGGGGGTCACGAAGCGCGTGAGGGGGTTCTCGGGGTGGATGTGATCCGTTACGGCTGGTCTGTTACAGTAGACCTTCTGCGAAGTTCCATATTCGAGCTTCAATAGCGTGTCACGGGCCAGCGGAATGGGCGTGGTCAGGGCGAGCGACATAATGAACTCAGCTCGCGACTGCATGCGGGCTTGCTTACGTCGGCCTTCTGTGGAACTCCGGGGATTTGAAAACATGGCAGGGGCGCGCGACACAGACCTGCCACTGCACGCGGACGTTCCCATGTTGGCCTTTTGTGGAGCTCCCATGGGGCTTCAAAGGCGTGGCAGATGCGAGCGAAATAAGTCCACGACTGCATGCTGACTTTTTCATTCTGGCCTTCCGTGGAGCTCCCGTGGGGCTTGGGAAACGTGGCAGGGGCGAGCGAAATGAGCCCACGATTGCATGCGGACTTTTTCATTTTGGCCGTCCGTGGAGCTCCTGTGGGGTTTGAGAAACGTGGAAGGGGCGAGCGACATGAACCCACGAATGCATGAGGACTTTTTAATTTCGGCCCTCTGTGAAGCTCCCATGGAGCATAACAAACATTACAAGGACGAGCAACATAAGCCAACGACTGCATGTGGCCTTTTTGGTTTGGGTCCTCTGTGGAGCTCTTATTAGGATTGGAAAACGTGGCCGGGCAGAGCGACATGAGCCCACTATTGCGTCCGGAGTTTTCATGTCGGCCTTTGTGGAGCTCCTATGGAGCCTATGGGGCTTGAAATGGATTGCAGGGGTCTGCCAGTGCAGAGGCAAACAAGAGGAGGGGGTGGAGGGCCGGGAGGACCGAGGGGAGCGGGGCGTTGTTGATTCAAAGCGAGGACCCAACACCACAGGATGGTTGGGCAATATCAACGTACACCAGGGGTCGTCGTCAAAAACAGCTATCAACAACATGACGCGCAGGACTTGAAAACATTGAGGGAAGACGCTAAAACACACACACACACAACGACTAGCACTTAACCAGCGCGCATTAATAGGCGTTCATAACATAGGAGCAACCACAGCTACCATACTCTGAGTTCATTGATAAGCGTTGGGGGGTACCCCCCGACTGGGGTCAACCTCGCCTCGTCGTCGCGCCGCGACTGGGGTCGGAGCGCCTTCGGCGCGCAGTGGCTGCCCGCGACGGGGGTCGATGCGGAGCTGTCTGCGGGGGTGACGCCCACCCGACGTTTATGCAGAAACTCGGAGTACACGATCAACATAACATCAATGCCGTGCAACAGCAAACACTATTCCAACCACGCGCGTGAA